GTGATTTTGTATTGACAGCTTAATACAGAGCCTTGATTTCTTCATCTGTAGAGAATGGGGAGAGCTGTGGCTTCTGAAGGGGCCGGGCTGTGTAGCCTGGTGGTTAAGAGCCGGCTTTGGAGATGGACACACTTTGGTTTTCTCCCTGACTAGCTGCCTCCTTGCTGGGTCAGCTTGGAACGTTGTTAATCTCCCAGTTTCCTTATTGATAAAGTGAGGAAGAGAATACCTTCCTTCCTCCTGGGTTGTAGTTGACAGCTAAGAGATGTTGTGAGGATCAGGCGAGCTGATGGATATAGAAACGCTTTTCAAACAGGATATGTTGCTTTGCCCTGTTTTGGAGGAGGTGCTGTTAATACTTGGAGTGCTTTGCAAATAACTCTTGTGCATCAGTATAAGGCTATGATAATTCTTATTATTGGTTTGTGTCTGAAGGCAAAACGCAGCCGAGAAATGCATGATTCAAGGGCACGAGAATGACTATTTACAATACTATGTGTTCTCAATTCTAATACATTATCAGTTGTAAGATATGCCTTTAATGTAATAACAGATTTTCAGGAAGTAAAGAAACACTACTATGTTAAATTTATCTACCTATCATATGCATTTAAATTTCAGAAATGGAAAAATGTAGAAACAATGTGAGTCTGAGAATGGAGGAGATATGCCCGTGTGTGTGTATAATTTGAATAAAAGCTGTGGTGTTCAGAGCTCTAAATTTCAAAAGGATGCTATGTAAGAAGCTTCCGAACCCACTTTTGATCACATAAAGGTGTAGGATTCATGCAGACCAGATTTTTAAGCTGCACTCAAAGTGTAAAAGCAGACCGTGGTCATTAGACATGATCATGCCAGAGATCAGCACTTAGATGATCACATGGACCAGTTTTGCAGGATTCTATTAATGAAGATTCTGAAATTCCGAGTTTTCACATTTTGACCATTAAAGGGAGTTGCTGGTGTTGATGTATGATGAGGCTGGACCACGTAAAGCTTGTGTCTCCATAAGCACACCGTAGAAAATATGTTTGCATTCCAACCTCTCCTTAGCCCATCTCCCCGTTGGGAGGAGTGGGGCTGCAGATGAACGGGAACAATGAATACAGAGTCTTCATCAGAAGGCGATATTTGAGCATTTAATGTACTACCATTCTTGTGTATTCTGTTGGGAAGAATGGGCACCACACATTAACCTTACTGTAAGTGTGATGTGTTTGAACATACAGTTGAAGAACAGCCCAACAAATATGCATTTCTGCTGTGAGCGGTTTTGAATAAATCAACATAATAGCCCATAGTTATTAACATATTATGTGAATTGGACAATGACTCAATATACTTTGAGGACCTTGAACTAAATCCACCAGTTAAGAGCCTCTAGGATGGGCTCCAGAAGGACTGGAGTTCTAGGCGTTGAGGTTGTCATATAAAGAAATGAACTGCAGACCACTGGCAGGAGTATTTTCTGGTAATACTCAGCCCAAAGTAAATTTTCAAATGCTTGGACTGTAGCACAGAATTGACTAATGTCAGATAAATTGGATCTGGACTTCTAAATGTGGGTCAGTTTGGGTTGGAAGTGATTTTATTATCCACAAACCTCTTTGTACCTCTTTTCCCCCCAAGAAATACTCAGCCATAGTTTTTCTCTGTTGCCAAGGCTCTCTTTTGAAGCTTCTGAGAAGCAGTATATTTTTCTGTTAGATTTCATAAGAAGTAGTGCTAGGCTTTTGATGTAATTATGTTTAGATTTCACAAAAACTTTCAATGTGTTGAAAGTTAAATTCCAGAGTGTAAAGCACCAAGTCCGGGCTCAGTCTCAGTGAGCCTGAGTCCCTGTGTTACTCCTGTCAGAAACTTGCTGTGTGACCTTGGACAAGTCTTGGCATGTTTTACCTCATGGGTTAAAAAAAAAAGAGTTGTTACCTGTGATCTTTTTTGGTCCTTTTATAGCTTGGAAATGTAGAGATTCAATGATCTGTGTCTTCTGTGCTGTGACTACAAAATAGAAAATAGACTACGTGGACAGAGCCTCATAATCTTCGAGAACCAGGATTTTCCTCAAGTTGTTCTTCTCTTTTTCATCTCTGGGTACTCTTTAAAAACCTCTTTAACTGGGTACAAGTCTTCCTCCATGACGTTTAATATAACTTTATGGACTTCAGTTAAAATCTGAAGTCCCTTTCAGAAAGTTAGTACTTTTTTAAGTCTTAAGTGCCTTATTAAACCTGCTGAGGAGATACAGTCCTGGGAGACCATTTATCACATGTGAAAACAGTCTAGACTTAACTCTCCTTAAAAAAAATGGCTAATGAAGCTTATACCAACTTCCCAGTTTGGATGAAATGCTCTGATTGGACAAAATGTGACAGTTTTTGTACAAAAAGGTTTTGTGGCCTCTTTATTCTTATGCTCTTGCTCAACTGTCGACAGTTGACAGCAACTTAATCATTTAGCTAAAGATTGGGCCACCTGAACGGAGATTACCCAGAAACCTTTGCGAGTGATCCAGGATGCTGGGAAAGGGGGTGGGAGGTGGGCCCTGGGGAACAAGGGGACACAGTTCAGTTACTGTGAGTTGTGAGGAGTCTATTATAAGGCTTCACTGGAGAATCAGGGAAAAGAGATGCTGCCCTGGCATCTAGGCCTCACAGAGACAATGGACCAGAGTTCACAACAACTGGAATTCAAAACCTAAACAGGTGCTGGTGGATGTTGGCTCTGGAAGGCCCAGAAGTGGGACTCTTCTGGACTCCAGGCTGTTGGAGGGACCTCAGCAGCAGGAGTTGCCGGCTCTGTCCTTTGTGCTTAGCCGTGATGTGAGTCGGCCCTTCACTCATCTCTTCTCATCTTTGTTTCATCTCCTTACCCTTCCCTGTCTGCAGGCCAGCCTGCCCTGCTGCACCTTCTCTCAGAGTCTCCACGTTCTCTGAACTTCCACCACTCATGCTCCACTTTGGCCATTTCACCTCATGGACTCCTTCTCTATATCCCTTTAGCTTTGGCTCCTAGTTCTTTCTGAGTTCCCAGTTAAAAAAACAAAAAACAAAAAAAAAGCAAGAGCAAGAATTTGGCCCCGCTCACTCTTGTTTGGATGGGGTGTTTGTGTTCGTTGACGTCACTGACCACTGTCCAGCCTTGGCTGTCTGTCCTTGGGTCCAGTTAGCAGGGAGGGGCTGTCACATGGTTCAGACGGTGCAGCCCAGTGTTGGGTAGACCCCCTTAGAAGTGGACAGTGGGTGTGGTGGGCACTATGAATGGTGTCTAGCTCAGAGAGGGAAGTGTGTCTGTAACAGAAGGCTGTTTCTTTCTGCTTACCTAAGTTAAGAAGTCTTCCAGGAGGATGTGCTAGGCCATCCAAACAACCACGAACACTCAGACATTGTTCACAAGTGGAGTTGGGATGTGTTTAAAGAAGTACACCAATGCAGTCTTCTGCTTCTTCAGGGACCGTGTCTACAGTTGGTGCTTCATGTATTCACTGAGGGCATCTCCTTCACCTGTTTTCATGCCTGCTTCTTAGCGTTGAGATCTGCAAGGGCTGATGAGTCAACCTGGTTGGGATTCCTTATAAAACCAGTCATGATAGAATACTACTGGAAGGAACACAGTTGATACTTTTCATGTTGGAGAGGTCCATTTGCTAATTCCCCACTCAAGGTTCTAAGCACGAATTCTACAGGGATGGGGTGGATGAGGTATCCTCCTTGTCTTTTAACATTCACTTCCACAGTGTAGAAGCCCTGTGTTCCATCACATCTAGCGGTAGGACCGTTCTGTGGGGGGGGGTCGGAGGGGGCCATACACATGCACACGTTGCCACACAGACACACAGGCCTCAAGGAGTCCACAGTTAATCATTTTGGTGCTTGCTTGGCAGAAGGGGCCTTCCGTGTTGGCACTTGACTTGTGTGGATGTACACATGCACATTTTGCACATTCAACTTCTGTGAAACTTCAAAGGCCTGCTGAAGCCTCACTGAATGCCCTGGGGTCCTGTTCAAGGCACAGGGTGTTAGTGGAGGGTTGGTATAGAGTAAGTGGAATGGACCAACCAAGGCTTTGGAACCAGATAGGCCAGGGTTTTTGGCCCCTTTCCTTATTACCTGTGTGATGTAGAGAAGTTGCTTACTCAGGAATCTCCTCCCCTTTTCTTGAAAACCTAAAAAAACCTTCTGTAATGGAATTCTATGGTGACAGGTATTAGAAACCCAACCTGAACGACGTTAAATGAGGAAAAGAGGAGTTCTTTGATTCCCATAACCAACTTTTGGGAATGGCAGAGGTAGAGCTTGCCAGAGGGACAACTGAAATACCATCCCCACGAGAGGACATCAGCCCTATGAGTGTGTCCTCTCTTTCTCCTTGTTGTCGTCATCTTCTGCTGCAGCTCTTAGGCAGGAAGGTCTGAAGGATGGGTGGTGTCATGGGTTTTCATCCTCAGCTGGAGGTTGGTGGGACTCTTGCCCCACCTTTTTTCAGGTCAAATTCTGGGGCAGGATTCTCATTGATTTGGTTTGGGTCAGGTGCCATTTCTGGATCAATCAGTGAGGCTAGGAAGCGGGGATCATGTAAAAAGATGGTGGCTTCCATTGGATCACATGACTCGCTGGTGTTAGGGAGATCCCTGGGAGAATTAGCTGGAGTCAGTCTTTTAAAAATGTTATTAATTAATATTTTAACTTTGCATTAAAAGAGTGGTATAAAGTTCTTAGCCCTTTGTCTGTAATCTGCTAGGTATTCTTCGTTAGTTTCCTCCTTCCTGTAAAGGCGATCATAAGGTCTCGCCGATTTTGAGCTCATGGACACCTTCTGCGTAGAATCCAACATAATCCTGGGCATCTTCCCCTTGCTGTGTGCTGTGGCCACTTGCTGAATGGGGCAAGGCCTTCTGACAAAGGAGAGCTCTGCGGGAGTGGTTATGTGGGATATTTTTAGGATGTGCCATTGCAAATAACAGCTTTCATAGAGTTCCCAAACCTTAGGCTTTTATTATTGTTATTTTTTAAGTTTGTCAAAGCCTTAATATTGACGAGGAAAGAATGCTGAAAAAAGCAAGGGGTTCAGGCAAAGATAGCCGTCAGGCCTTTCTAGGAGCTCGTCTTTCTCTGAGGCTTCCGATGGGAAGGTGGGTGAAACAGACGTTTTCTGTGGAGTGCCTACTGTGTGCCAGGCACTGGACTAAGCTCTTTACATCCCCTTTAAATTGAATCCTCGTGACGTTTTAGAGTAGATACCATTATTACCCTCGTATGAGGAGCCTAAGTCTCAAGCAGGTTACTAACTTACCCAAATACTTGCTAAGGACCCTGCAGATGATCTTTACTTCTAGTCCAAGAGACAGTATTTAAAGGCTGCTCTCAACCCGGGAAGGATGAAAGGCCAATGTTTGCTATGGCTAAAAGGAGGAGACTGTTTTTTTTCCCCAATAGCTTTATTGAGATATAATTTACATACCATACAGTTCGCCCATTTAAAGTGTCCAATTCAGTGGTGGTAGTATAGTCAGAGTTGTGCAGCTATCACCACAATCAATTTTAGAACATTTTCATCACTTCCCTCTAAAACCCCCATACCTATTAGCAGTCACTCTCCATTTTCCCCAATTCCTCCCAGTCCTAGGCAACCACTAATGTCGTTTCTGTCTCTATGGATTTGTATTCTGGACATTTCATATAAATTGAATCAGACAAAATGTGGTCTTTTGTGCCTGGCTCCCTTCACTTAGCAGAGGGAGGAACTTCCGACGGAAGCTTGCCCAAGGTGTCCTCTTAGCCTTGGCCTTCTGGTATTCAGTGTCCTGTTGCTTCCCTCTACGCTGCCTCAGTATCTGTTTGGTACAAGAAGCCAGAGGATAGAAACACCCATGTGGACTTTTTGAGAACAAATCTGCTTGCTAGCGTTAGCAGAGGAATGTTTGGTGGGTAGATTTGGACCTGGGATGGAATGGATTGCTCCCTTTTAATACCTGGTGACTCCAGTGTTGGGGGGGGAGGGTTAAATGAGGACCCCTGGGAAGTGAGGTTCCCCAGGCATCTACCTCTGAGGGAATTCCTATTGAGGGTGCACTGGCAGGAGATGCTTTGTTTTTTTTTGTTTTTGTGAGGAAGATCAGCCCTGAGCTAACATCCATGGCAATCCTCCTGTTTTTGCTGAGGAAGACTGGCCTTGAGCCAACATCTATTGCCAGTCCTCCTCCTTCTCCTCCCCAAAGCCCTGGTAGACAGTTGTCTGTCATAGTTGCACATCCTTCCAGTTGCTGGATGTGGGGCGTGGCCTCAGCATGGCCGGACAAGCGGTGCGTCAGCGCGCGCCCGGGATCCGAACCCTGGCCGCCAGTAGCGGAGCGCGCGCACGTAACTGCTAAGCCATGGGGCCGGCCCCAGGAGATGCTTTGTGATGTTAGAACAGACATGGAGATGTGGTACCGATTCAGTTAGTGCTGAGAGAGGCTCCAGGGCAGTTTCAGAAGGCCTCTCCTTTCTCTTCTGTATTCTCGCCCCCCGGCCTCCTCCCTTCCTCCCCTAGTTCACACTTTGGAGGGAGGAATCTTTTAGCTTTTCTGTTCCGGTGCGGCAGCTGTAAGGAATGTTATCAGTGTTGGGACTGGGCATAGGACCAAACCTTGCCGGTGCCTGAACTGAAACTGAAGCTGAGCCTGAACCGGCAGGGCAGGTTGCGCCTGAGCTGGCTGCCACTGAGCTCGTTGGCCTGTCCCGCGGAGATTTGTCCTCGCCATTCTGGCACGGTGGGGACCCTGACATCGGGGATGGCACAAACCCTATGAGGCAGGTTGCATGGGTGTAGATCCATGGAAGACTGTCACGCCTCCCAGAATGAGTGGGTTCCTCTGGGTTAAGGGGCCGGCCTGGGGCTGTGTGGGTGCTGGAGGAAGTAGAGGTGGTACACCCCCTCTTCAGTAACATGCCCCAAGGAGAATGGCTGTTCAAACAGATTGCTGTTAATAAACAGGGAAAGTGCTTTTCGAATCGCTTGTTTATAAGCTACTTAAATAAAAGGAGCCAGTACAAATGTTGCTCATGCTTGGAAAACTGGCTGTGGAGTATGAGAAGTTTTTATTTATGGTGAGAGCAGGCAGCTTGGTGGGTGCATGTAGCTTGGTTCTTGCCTTAATGTGTGGCCCATCTGTTGTTTCTTGCCTGCCTTTTGGGATGAAAAGACACAAGAAGCAGTGTGCTTCCCTGTGTATGTCATGGTAATGATATGGGTCCAAGACCTTTCTGGTGTCTTCGGTAAAAATGCGGATACCAGGGTTCTTGAGGTTTCTTAATGAATTCAGGTGTTAAGTGCTGCGTGATGGACCTGGCCCCTGAACTAGAGTAACTACACTGTTCATGTCCCCAGGGGTGAATGTGGCCCCTGGGATGCTGGTTGACTAGCCATGTTTCCATGGCAGGACCATGTTGCGAGATAGAAGTGCATGGCTGGCAGATGTGCACCGTCCACCTCAGTGGGTCTCTGTCTTTCCAGCAGGTGTCTTTCCAGTCTAGAACTGAGACAGCAGGTGGAATCCCCAGGCTCCCTTCCCGCTTGGTGTCTGTAGAGAAATACCCGTTTGTTATCATCATGGTAACTGTCAACCCTGAAAGCCCAGGTTTCGATGATCATGAAAGTGTTTGGATTTAAATGGGTCACAAGATGTTCTTGACTCTTCCTCTCAGTGCCGCTTCCCACTCCCATGTTCATTCTCGAAAGCCTTCCCAACCTGTGGGCCTCGGCGTGAGTCACTTAGCCAGACTGCCGCCCCTCCCCGTGGCCTGGACGACTCCCGGCGGGAGTTGCTGGCACGACATCGAGAAAACAAACCACACCCCAGCAATGATGATGCGTTATAGCATTTCTTCGCTCCGGACAAGAGGCACCAGGGTCTCGAGATGGGTCTGGGGTTTGTCCTCCCTGCATCCGGTGCTGCTGGTGCCTCTCTGACCATCACTGGGGAGCTGGCCGTGGCTGCTCAGCAGAGGAGTGCTTCCCCATGGCGGTTTAGAGGGCGGTCGGCAGGCTGACTAATCCACCAAAGGTCAGCGAGGGTGTTGATGGTAGCACCTCTCTGCCTTGAGCACAAACATCATCTTGGATCTCGTAGATACTCGGACTCACTGTATGCAGAACATTCTGGGTTTATGAATTAGTCTTGGGCTACATTTTTTATTTGGTACTTTGGATTCTTTTATTAAAGAGATAAGAGACAAAAATATCACTGTTTTGCCAGCTGGCTACCAACAGGACCCCC